CACTGAGTGTAACAGGAAGATAAACACTGTCTTTTTTTATTGTAAATTTTCTAGTATATAGGACCTCAAAAGCAGAGTTTGAAATCAGGCTGAAATAGCTGGTAGTTCTCTAGCACTGATTTTGGTAAGTTTTACATTTACAGTTACATGACATAAATTCCAAAGAGATAAATGCTTTATATTTCAAGTAGTTCACGAAAATAATTTTCATCACTGTTCTGTATGATTCAAAATATTAATAGAAAACTGTAACATGAGAGTCAGTTCAAGAGTAGTCATAAATGATCACATTGCCTTTCTGATTTATTCTCCTTCTTCTGTACCTTTTCATTCTCAGGTACTCATAGTTAATCTTTATTTTATGCCCATTCATCAAACTAGTTCACTTGCAACAAAAATAGAAGTAACTTTTGCCTTCTTTTTGTACTCACCTCAAATGCATAGGAGGGAAAAAAATTTTGTTTTTAAATTAATTTTTCTTCCTATGTGGAATATGTGTATGGAAAATTACAGGAAAAGAAAATTTTGTCTCTACCTATAGGAATACTTTTTTCTCCAGCCAGTTTTGTGGGACAGCATTTGAGGAACGCATTTGTTTCCAGCTTCCCTTTTCCTGACACGTTCATTAATCCTGAGGAATACTGAAGACAGGATTTACAACTGTGCATATTTAGCTCTGCTAGTCTGGTTGAGTTCTGAATGCTACAGTGAGGACTGGCAAAGACCTCAGAGATCACTAGAGCTCCTGTTGTGGATTGGACTTTCAACAATAGAGATTATTCCCAAGGACAAAAGGCTCCTTATATAAAATAACTTCTACTGTCATCATCTGGGTCTATTCTTGATTCATGTTTTGCCATCTGCCATTCATTTAAGTGACTTAAAAGTGCTACTTTTAAGCATTGATAAAACTTCTTTGATAAGAAATTTTAGATGTGGCTTTCTGTAATTTAATAACAGTTAATAACAGTTCAGCCCACTTCAGTAGTCCTTGCAATCTTGGACTTGGGGGTAGAGTAATGAGCAAAAAATATGGTCTTTGAAGTTCAAGAGGTGTATAGCAAAAATAGTGTAAAATCAGCTGTTTCAG